ATATATATATATATATATATATATATATATATATATATATATATATATATATATATATATATATATATATATCAATATATATATCAACAAATTGGTTAATATCCTTTAATATAGGACCTTGTGACAAAAATGGCTCATGCCAAGCTTTTTTACCAAACTGTGTAACCAATCTAATATCTAGGTTACTCGCTTGCTCCCAGAACTCTAGTCAAGTCTTTTAGTTCTACAGGTACATTTGATTGCCTGCACCTCTGCCCAGAGGTACATACTGAGTTGAAGGAAGTAAGGCACCTTCGGCATTTTTAAAATTACGTTAACATTGAAATTTATTAATACTTATATAGTTTCAGTCGTACAGTGTAATGTACTACACATTTCCACAAATATTTTTATTACTAATAACTTTTTCACCTTGTCGCAAGTCTATTGCATATATTCTTTTGATCTTCTTTCTTACACATGCTTGCAACTCCTGTCTTGTATTTGGTCCTTCAAGTGTTCCTGATTATGTTGTCCCTTACTTAAGATGAATACAACGTTCCCTTCAACTTTCCCTGATGCTTGATATTTTGTTTCTATGCTTCTGAGATATCTTTTTGCAATAACTCGAATATACATATATTTATTAACCTTTAATCCTATAAATTGAATAATGTTATAAAATACGACGTTTCTGCACTAAATATGCAAAATGCCTTTTTTGTGAGCTACTATAAAATATTAAATCATTTTAAATAAGTTTCAAACTTGATATACTTATAAAAATCGCTGGTTCTAACCTAAACATTCTGTTACTCGATCATATGTCACGATCATATGTCACTCAGCTGTTGGCGGATCGACTGTTACAAACCACCCCCTGCCCGAACGCCGTTCGGGATTTTCGATCATTTGAACATTCGATCTTTTGCTACCATCTCTCGGGTTTGTGTGGCGTTTGTATGTTGAATGTATTCGCGTTGTTTTGCGAAAATGTACGCGAAAACTAACGGTCGTAGAAAAAGTATAGTATGCAACATGTTCTGTAAACTTTTAAAGTCACTCGTGAGTCAAATGCCGTTTACCGCATTTGTTGCATAATATATTATGGGCATATGAATGACTAGCAAAGCAATTTATTAAAATAAGTTGTTCAAATTGTAGTGAGTTGCGCTTCCACGCAAGTTATGATATTTCGTGCCTATTCATGACTTGCCGGGTTGGTAAAAAAGGCTCTTGCTGTACAGAGTAAGCAAAACAGTGCCAGTTTTGAGGGCCATTGAGCCTCTGCACTAACTAACTAAAACTAATTGGATTGGCAATTCCGATGTGATAAACGTATACTTCGATTTTTTCGCATTAGGGGAATATAGTCATTATAAAGTTCCTTTTCTTCCAGTGCGTATCCCATAATGGATGTTTGCGATAACATTTTCTATTGCTACTTTATTCCTTGCGGTGTGTATTTACGAGTCTATATCGTGTAGACTGTCTGATATTTCGTAGCCAAGACATTTTTTTCTTTTCGATCCCTCTCCGGCTTTCGATCTTACCTTCGATCAGCAAAAATTGGTATTTCGTGTTTCGTGTTATATGTCCCAGATGTGCCGTTTACTCTTCTTAATCAGTTCGCGTTGATTGTTGACAGGTCTTAGGACCTCTTCGTTTGTTAGCTTAGCCGTCCAAGGTATTCTTGAGATTCTGCGGTGCAGCCACACTCGAATGAATTCGGAACCGATAAGCAACTTTCGAAACCTCCAGTCAATGTCAATTCTTCGCAATGTTAGATGCCCAGGTACTTTCTATGGGCTTTGCGTTAAATGAACTTGTCCCTTATTATTTTTCCTATATTTTTCTATTTCCATTCAACAGCTTAAATATTTCTTTGTGAAATATATATTTAAAACAGTTCACTTCAACTATTCTTTACCTGAATTCTAAAAGAAAGAAAACCTACTACTTTTCCAAAAAAGATTACAAATATTCTCCCAATTAATTTTTTTATTTCAACTTTTACCTTCTATCCTTGTATTTTAAATTTCATATAATTATAATTTATTTTTTTGCTTGAGTATATAGAAGAACTATTTCTTTTATCAATTTATTTAAAACTTCTTACTGAATGATATGTATATATTATTTTACATTATTGTTTTCTATAGAGGTAATTGAAATATTACACATTTTCTGGTCAGATTTCTGATTGCCAACCACTGTTGCCAGTCACCCACCACAGTTCTAGAAAATGGATTAAAACATTGCCAAGACACACCAAAGCTTTACAACATATAAGCCTACGTCTGTTTCGCCCCACTATTTCGTCGTAAGAAAGGGACTTAAAATTAAAGTAACGGTCCCAATGTTAATGCAAAGCATACATTAAACTAGCTGGGGCCACAGCTACGTCTTCCTTGAAACAATCCTGGTATTAGATATGCCAACACGGTTAGTTGTTAAACTTTATAATTCCCCTATTTGTCTGTATGAGTGCTGGGCAATATCATTGTTAGCAAAATTACATAAATTTGAATTGTAAAGCGACTTATTGGAACTGCGCATATTATTTGCCAAATAAGAACCAGTTTGTGTAGAATATGGATTCTTTTCGAGAAGGGTTCCGCAAGGGTCGAATCTGGAACCGCATTTCTTTTGGGCAGTTTGGCAACGTTAACTGATATCTGTTAAAGGGTATTGTGCGGTATTCATTTTAAATTGCGTAGGGGATTAAAAAACGGCCAGGGATTAATTTTGTAATAAAAATCTGCCAAAATTACTTGGCGTTAATTCTTTCCAGCAATTAGCTAAAAAGTTTACCGAAATCCACAGCTTGATAGTTCTTTTTATAAGCGACTTCGGCTTACAGATTTTCTAAAATCCGGCAACGCTGTATTCTTTTGAAACGCTCAATTTTCCAATATAATAATTTTGTTATTTAGAATAAAATACGGTTTTGCAAGCAACAACACGGTATTGACAAATAAATTAAAAGTTTCTTTTGCATAAACAGGCACTCGTTATAAAATTTCAATCGGTCTGTTTTGCAAAGTCAACTAGAAACAGTTATTATTAAATTTGTGTTTGTCGTGATTATTTTATCCTAATATCACATTTTAGATACATTAATTTGTTACTTTCTTATCCTAGATTAGATCATTGCAATTCCCATACTTAGGTTGTAAGTCCAATGGGAATAAATGAAATTAAATGAAAGTCTTTGTACACTTTTAATAACATAAATAGAGCTAATGGAGCTAAAAGTTCTCAACTATGTTATTAATATCTCGCCTACGCTGTAGAAAAATATACGAAGGCTACAAATAATTCATACCAATGTAGGATTGCAATTGCTTTATTTTTGTTGTCTCTTTTTAACGGTGTACGTTAGACAGATAGATAGAGAGAGAGAGAGAGAGAGAGAGAGAGAGAGAGAGTGAGAGAGAGTGAGAGAGAGGGGGGGGAGAGGGAGAGAGAGAGAGTGAGAGAGAGAGAGTGAGAGAGAGAGAGAGAGAGAGAGAGAGAGAGAGAGAGTGAGAGAGAGGGGGGGGAGAGGGAGAGAGAGAGAGTGAGAGAGAGAGAGAGTGAGAGT